ACTAAAATTCTACCAAAATTCTGCATTATTTTTGCAACATTATAAACATTAAAAACTACCGGTAAACCTAATTATGTTAACTCCTGACAAACAAAGTACTATTATTTTCATTATTATCCTAACAACTGCTCTTCTTACTATCATTACTATTATTATTATTATAATTATTATTATTATTATTATTATTATTTAATTGTTGTTATTATTTCATTATTTTTACTATTATAATTATCATTGTTATTATTATTTTATTACCATTACTTTTCTTATTATTTTATGATTATTACCATTATTATTGTTATTAAGGCAACGGCAACCGTTTTAGTATAAGTGTTAATAGATACATCGTAATATACTGATCGTTTATTCACCCAAGCATTAAGGTGGCTCCAACGCCTAGTGCCGTATCAAAATAGGGAGACTAAAAATTAATCATTATTTTCTTTAAAATGTGGTATAAAATTATCATAGAGACTGTTGTAAGCCATATTCTACATTTTATCTGTTACTTTAGTGAGTAAATATAAAAAACACAAAAAAGTTTTATGCTGCCCTAATTGATGAACTGTTACGGCACGCTCTTCAGTTTAAAAATGTGGCAATATTGCTCAGCTGTAGTCATACCTATATATATGTACTCTGCAGAATGCAGACAGCTGAGAGCTGACTTGCACTTGCAACTGTACACTTGTTATCGAACAAAATCTTTAAATAATCGGAGACTAAGACACTTTTCTCATGTCATCGAAAACTACGTAATACTACAAACAAGATAGTATATTTCTTACACCTTACGGGTTACTCATATAAGTGCAGTAGTAGGTTGTATATTGCGTAAGCTTGCATTTCCTATCTAACCCGTCTTAAAACTACGATTTTGTAATCATGATTTCTTACAATTTTCATCGTCAACCTTAATTTTTTTTTATACGAATAGAAAGATGGAAATTCGAAGAATATAATTCAATTTTATTAACCTCGGTTGGGTTATCTATAATTTTAACATTGAGGCCACTGGAGCCACCTTAATTGAATTGTTAAGCGATTTTTACTGTTTTTTTTTTGCAATGAGTTCAGCTGAATAAACAAATAGCATTTAGCATTGGTGAATATTAATAATATTCTTTCTCAATGTTATTATTAAATTACAATGACATTCTGTAAAATTTTGATTTAAAAGAGAAAGAAAGGGCAGGAGTAAGTGACTCACCTTCCCTTCTTTTAACGCATGTAGGAGAGCTAGTCGCATGTAGGAAGTACCAATTTCTGAGTGGCTTAACTAGAGCAGCTCTAGCCTGGCTATTGTCTTTTCCCTTAAGATTTTCATCAGCAAACTTTCCTGCGTCATTTTCGAACCAACACATTATCAAAGTCCGCTACTCCTTATAAAAAGCCCGGAGGCTTCAAAGCCGGGCTCTTCAATTTTTACCCCTCAAGCGGTAGACTAAGTAGTAAGAGTCAGCCCCTGCTACCTTCCAGTTTACCACGAGGTGGGGATACGGCAGTTAATTTATACACCCAACGATAGCCCTTCAAAGTAGACTGAGTAGTAAAAGTCCGCCTCTGCTACAACCCAATCTGCCACGAATCGAAGACATAGTCGAATCTTCGTTTTTTCACCCTTGAACGGTCAACGGGTAGCTATAGTCCATCTTTTCTACCATTTGATCTTTTATAAGGGCAGTCACTTGCCTCTTGCTGGCTCGCTACTTGTACGAGTGTTTTTCTTTGAAATAAATGTAAGTGTAAATTTATTAAGCTTCTTGACTGTCTTTCTTCTGCTTAACTTTGACCCACACACTATTACTTGCCACGGTATTAGTACCCATGGGTCATCGGGAAATACTAAGCTTTGTTTTATTTTACGCGCACGCCACTACTTGCCATGGTATGAGTAGTCATGGATCACTGGAAAATACTAATGCTTTTTTTCTTTTACGTGCACACCACTACTCGCTACGGCAGTGGTACCATCAGAGCAACAAGAACTAATAGAATTAACGTGAATACCAGTACTCGCAACGGTATTGGTACATCCTAGTCAGGTCGTAAGTCAAATTACGATCCACCCTCACGTAATCCCTAGAAACGATACCTTTACCCGTAACGGTGCTGGTAGTTTCTAGATCATGAACGGGATACCCTTTGGTACGCTGGTCCGGATTAAATCGACTAACCGTAGACGAGTTACGAGCCAGTACATCAGAATATTTCACAGCAGTCGATTCTAGTCGTATGAAACAGTTGTAGCCTCTTTGCGAATACCGTGTCGTTAGATTGAACTTCCCCTTTAGCCCTGTGTCCCACTTACGTGTCCAACGAGTGTCCCGAGTCATTAAGCAAAAGCTTAGACTCAAATAGTAAGTCGCGCTGACGTAAGAATATGCTTTCCCTTTTCATCGTTGCCTCAGTGTTGTGTTGTTAGGTTTTACCAAGAAATATACATGGAGTAATATTGATGTATTATACGTCAAACTGACGATGATCTACTGTATAAGTTCTTGTTTCTGTAGTGCAGTAGCTGTGTTCTTTAAGTCATCTTTTCATCTCACGTACTCGTAAGGGTCTTCATCAAAAACGAGTCTGTTTATTTTTTTTTATATTAAATTTAATGAAATAACTAAAGACGAAAAAGTTTAACTGGGAACATTCAATATAATATTAAATGATAATATAACTTTAGAGTAAGATTAAATAATTACAATGGCTTAGAGTTAATACATACAGATTAAGCGAAAATAATAGTAAAAGCCAGAATTCTCACACGTAGTTAGAAACAACCAGTACACACTACTCCATTAGCAAGCAACTGCATTACATATTAACTTTGACAAGTCCTATTTTGAGGAATTACCCGATTTTTACCATTCNTTGAAAAAAATAACGATCCTTGAGACCTGTTAAGTGGTTGTCTTTTTTGTGAAACCTGCCTTGTCTTTAAATTATAAAAACTGTTCTTGCTCAATAACACAGGGAAAACACGAGACAACATTAAACCTTTAGGTGCAATGAGAGTGAATGAGTCAAAAAGCATGTTGACAAGCATCGTGGTCTGCTGGCAATATGTATAAGCATATAACTTATGGCATCAAACAAAATAGTTTTAGTAATTAATATCTTATTCATGTGTACTGGTTCAAAAAAAAGTTAAATACCAAATTGGTAGACAATTTTTTGTTCTTGAGGCTAGTATTTTTGTTTTTATCCTACATTGTATGATATACGAGATATTTACAACATAAACTTTCAAACAAAACTTTCAGGGCATTTAACACAGTTTTAACATGTTTGACTACTTTTTTTTGTAATTTACAAGTTCAATTATATATAATAATAAAAATATCTCTTCGGAAATTGAATTTGAGTTTCAGAGGATTTTTTATTGGTAGCCACGTCAACACAAGGTGGCCGAAGATGACATATAGCAGGGTGGTGGCGATGGACAGTAACGTACTGCGAAGCAACAGTGACCATCAGTGAGATAACAGCGGCCCATGGTGATTATGGTAACCAATAGTACATTACGGCGAAGTAACAGGAATTGATCAGAGAGAAACGGAGATTCATGGCTATTGTGGTGATGTATGGCATTTAACAGCAATGATGATCGTGATCAACGCAGCCAACGGCAATGTGATACGGACTTTGCGAGACACAGGAAGTTACGTAAGCCCTTGCATGTACCATGGCAGCTAAACATGCCTATGTGCAGGATAAGTATGGTACAAGTAGTCATTAACCCAGGACATAGCTTGGCGCGCGAGACAAGCAAAGAATTGCCAGGGACTACCAAGATAGTACACAGTATATTAGGCACATTAACATAACAGACCTCAGTATAGCTAGTTTTAGTCAAGACATCTGTAACTTTGGTGATAATACGCTTGCACCGGTACTTTTTTTGTTAACTTGTCTCGTATACTTCTCTTTATATCTTGCTGCACTGACTGCACGCTAGAAATATTTTTAAACATTCTTACTTCCTCACTACTGTAAAAGTTCCTTTACAAGGTTGACCACAACTGTGTTTCTAATCCTGCACGAGAGTACTCAAGGCAATATAATAGTTAGACTGCTGCTTTTGACTTTGGAATCCAAGTCAATAGTCCTTTTTTTCTTGTTTCTCTTTGATTTACTTTCTAGGTGAGTCTACAGTAGCCTGATTTTTTCGAGCTTTTTGAAGTTATACTTCTACAGACACGTTATGCATTAAAGTAAATCAACGATTTCAGATTAGTAACCTTGAGGAAATATGTATCAGAAGTAGATTTTGCATGTTACTTCCCCTTGACCCACTCCCCTCACCGCACCTCCCTGCGCTTTAACCCTTCTACACAACACCACACGATGCTACGCCACCACAGCACACCATATATTTGGAATTTGATGGAATTATTGTTATTTAATTTCTTTTTTTAAAACTAATTTGAAGCAGGCTCAAGAAACGTAACGTATACTATAATTTACAACTATATAGGTGAAACCTTCTTTTATCGTGAGCTGAGCATGTGGCAAATCAGTAAACAGTTAGTTTATCCGTTAAATATCTTAGTAAAATCCACGCTTGCTCCTAACTTATAAAGTACAAGTAGAAGCCTCGGGATCATAGCAATAAATCTGCCATTTTTATTTGACTATCATGAGCGTGTTGACAGTTATATTTAAGTGTATTGGTATAAACTTATTACCATTCTAATGAAAACTGGCATATAAGTAATGTTTTGCAAAGCTTTTACACCAATTTTTCACATTCAGTGGGTCTAAGATTTTAAGGGTAGGTATATAAGGAGTTGTACAGTTGGTAAGACAATGAGGTTTACTGGCCAACAACCTGAAATCATTAGACAATCCGTGCTCTTCTTGATATTTGTTGGTTTATTTCTGTTTCATTTTATTTAATTTTTTTCTTCTTCTTTTTTTTTTTTTTTCAACAAAACACAAAATATAAGAAGTGTGATTATAACTTACTTATTAGCTAGAAACAAGAAAATTTCTCTTACTCAGTGACTTCCAGTTGATCAGAAACTTCAACTGTTCCAAGGCGGTTGTGAATTTCATGTAATAGTTTATAGCCTTGTCCTCCACTACCACGACTATCGATTTGAGCTACAATAAAATTTTTGGAACTTGCTAAGTAAGTATTCCAATCTACTTTAAATATATTGGTCACGAGTTGGGATCCTGGAGCACCATATCTGAAACAGAAAATTTAATAGTACGAACCAATTAAAAATTTTTTTAAGTGCTTACTAAATGTACAAAGAAGAACGTTAGCTTAAAACTAGTGACGTGTATGAATATTAAAAAGAACATGGATAAAACAAATGCAAATATAGTTAAAAGTTGTGGCTTACATCTCAGAAAACTATCAGATGCGTCTAAGAAATAAAAGAAAATGTTTGAAACTTTAGATTGACAAAGAGGTATAAGCTGTGTAAAAAAAAAAAAAATTAGACTTCTATGAATGCATATTTTAAAGTTCAGCTACGCTTTTATTTATTTTTCAGAGAAAGCCTTACGTTGTTCCAGATAATAAGACTTTTCTTAGATAAAAATATAATTATTCTATGAAATTATCTTGTTCTACTCCTTGTACTTAAATCTTTACAATATAAACATGTTGAAAATTAATTGAACTTGTAGGCGTTACGTCCAACTTTTATAAGTAACAGGCAAAATTCATAGACTTGTTCTAAGAATGAATGCATTTAATATTGTTCATCTGGATCCAGTCTTTGACCAAAAGGCCTTATTTTTGCTCTTACTTGCAGTATACTTTTATTAATCGTACGTATACAGTAGGTTAGTGTGTCGTACGAGAGCTGGTATTGACTAAGTATTTGAATTTATATCTTATGTGATGCAGTAGTAGCATATCTTATTTATCTTCTTGTCTCACGTCCTTGTAAAAGTCTTTGTCATAAGTTATTTATTTGAATTTTCCTTAGCATTCAATTAATCTATGAAAGTAAAAATAACGTTTCTATCAATAAGAATTGTAATCCTTAAATGTTTTATATAGTTTAACAATTGAAGTATTTCAAGTAGAAAAAAAAAAATTCAATCAACAACCAAATTGCGTCCCCACACGTTGGTAAATCGAACAATCAGAAAATGCCATAAGTCTTCTATTTAATTAAAAACTTGACATCACTACAGTATTTTTTATGAAGAAAATAAGTTAAATAACGGTATTCGATCAAAAACCTTATCTTAATGCTACAGACTAATAACAATACACAAAGAAGACATTCTTATCCGTATCATTATCTCGACATCGAATTCACTCCCTTACAGTTTTTCTAAATTTCTTTTAAATTTTCGATTAATAATATTTAGCCAGAAAAAGTCACACACAATGATTAATAAGAAATTAAAAAATAATTTAAAAGATGTTATTGTTTTAAATGATTCACTTCAATTAGTCCTGAAGTAGTTGGCTTATTTAGTAATACTAGTGTAACGTAATTAATAAACGCAGTGGAAATTTTTCTGAGATTCTTTAACTGCAAGACGAATGTCTATTTAAATAAATTGTACTTAGATTTTCTTAATTAATTAAAAATTCTACTTGCTTCTAACTCAACAACAAGTATTAATTATCAGAGTTATTATTATCTCCATAATTATTATCATTGTTACGATTATGGTTATCTTTATGATTTTGATTATCATTATAACTTCTTTTTCTCTTAAAGGCATTACTATAATTATCAACAATAATAATACTAACATCATTTTTTATTATTATCATCATAATTATCATCATTAAAATCATAATGATTATTACCACTATTATTATTATCATCACTTTAATCGCCATTAGTACTATCAACAATATTATTAATATTATTGTCATTATCATAATCGTTATTATTTTAATTATTATCGGCAGTATTAATATTATTATTTTCTTAATAGTTGTTGTTAATACCATAACCACTTTTTTTTTTTTTTTTTTTTCAAGGTCGTCTAGAATACCTTTATGAACGATAGAAGGGGGTATATAAACCTCGTGCTGTGTGGGACTCGTTATAACCATACCCACTGAGCTGGCAAGATCTTTCTCCTAGAACAACTGGCTCAGAATCTGCTCTCGCATTTATACTTCAAGCCGGGCCAATGGAAGCGTAGCCTCTAACTTCAGCTTCCTTCAGTGTTTCGTAACCAACGCGTCTTGTAACTTTTGCGTCATCTAGAGTGTTTTCTATTTTCCGTCATGCATCCTAGCTCCTCTTCTCTGTATAGTTAGAGAAAAGAAGCAAAATAATAAGCAGATGCTCCGCAGCGTGAGCCCAGATCCAGCTACGCCTAACAAAGGTACAAGGAGCAAATCCACCACTAACCCCATGGGGCAGAAACTTAGGCCACTGAGGTGCAGCTGCTCATCGGCAGGAAGGTGATATAGCAAAGCGGCCCTTGAAAGCCTGCCCGCATTCAAGTACTTACGCAAGCCCCAACACCGAACACCGACCACCCCACAGCCATACCCGGAAAGCCAGCACCCGAAGAGAGAAAAAGAAAAAAAAATTGAGGCAGTGAAAGCAGAGCATCCGAGAGCATGGGCCATAAAGCCGCAGCCATTTATTGATTTATTGGTAGAAAGGTGATAGATCCAAGCGGCTTCAGGAAGTCTGCACGTACTTAAGCACCCACGCAGGCCCCCATCCCGTACATCAAATGCCCCGTGGCCACAACCTGGTTGCCCCAACCCTGACTCCTCGCTATCGCCCCCCCCCCCAATATCTTGAGCGCCGTAGCAAAAACACAACCCCACGCCCCCCCAATGGTACTGGATCCACGCTCGCACCACCTCCTCTCAGTCGTCCGGAAAACCATCCTTCTTTTTGACCCGGAGAACTGTATGTATGTATTGGGCTACTGCAGTCCACCTTTCTTCGTTAAGTAGCATTTTATCTATAACGTTGTCGGGATTAGAGGTTTCAATCCTTTCCTGCAGCACGTTTCGTTCGGCTTGCCGCTTGATGCAGTCAAAGAACGTATGATCTGTGTCATCTTTGTCGTAGCCGCAGTACTTGCAAGCAGTGTTTTTTGCATCTTGTTGAGGTACGAGAAGAAATACTCCTGATTCGAGAGGAATATGGTAAAGTAGAAATCGACTTCCCCGTGTTTCCACTCTGTCCATTCCTTGACATCTTTTATCAGGCGTGCCGTCCATCTACCTCTAGATTTCTCTTGCCATCTATGTTTCTAGCGTTCCCAGGTCATTTCCCGGGCGTTCTTTCTTGGCCTCAATTCTTCCTAGGTCCTGCTCCGTAAGGTGCTTCAATCGTCTTTCCCTCACAAAGAGGTCGATGGGGACTACGCCCGCAATCACCATAATTGCAGACTCTGAGGCTGTGCGATAGCCACAGGCTTTCCTCAAGGCCTATCTTTGAACTTAACCGATCTTTACTCTCTTCTTTTCAACGTTTATTTCGTCACCCCATATCTCAGCCCCAAACAAAATAATAGACTGAGCCGTAGACATAAGCAGCCTGCGTTTAGCAGGCTTTGGTCTTCTAACGTTCGGCATGATTCGGCTCAATGCCGCTACTCTTGCTGCTGCCTTGTCTGCTGCTTGCCTAAGGTAGCTCCAAAACGTAAGATTTTAATTTCACCCCTAGGTATTTTACGGCATTCTTCGTCACTACTTTTACTTCTTGTAAGGGGGATGATGGTATGTATCTCTTTTCTCGTCAATAGTACCATCTTCCTCTTCTCTGATGCAACTTCTAGTCCATGGTTTTCCATCCATGGAGCTACTCTCCACCTAACCTGGTTAAGTCGTATCTGAACAAGTTCCATCGTGCGTTCGACGATTACTACAGCAGCATCGTCCGCGTATCCTACTAAGAACGTCCCCTCTGGAATTTTCTAGCAGAGAATTCTGTCATATGGCCTGTAGACGACGGTCCTTAAGCAGCTTTTTGTATGACTTTCCAAGCGTATCCAGCATGCATAACGGCCTGAGAGTCGGTTTGGCGGTAGCATAGCTATTTTAATTTCACCTGGATCTTCTCCTGTTTTAGCAGCTTCTTGATTGGCTGCTAAGACTTTCTCTTTATCGGCGACTGACACTAAGTCTAGTACCTCTAAGGTAGCTCTAGGTTCCCTTGATTATAACTTTCCTGCGGTACTGATTGCGCCAGTAAGATAGCCTGTGTCAGCTTCTCCTCATCTTTGGTGCTTTTAGCGAGCTCCACCAGAATACAACCAGCCTTTGTTCTGCGTATTCTGGTAACTCCCAATACTTCCGCATATGACTTTCTTTTTGCTGGTTTCATGAGAATGGCCTCATTTTTCTTCTTCGCCTTTCTCCGCTTTTTCATTTCCTTTTCTGGCTAACCTTTAATTGGAGTCGGCGTGCTACCCACCGGCTTTTTTCTAGCAGCCACTTGCTCCTTGCGGTTCGCAAGTGCCTGCTTTGTTTTGTTTACGACTTCCCTCCACAGTTCGTCGTCGTCAGCGTCGTTCTTGCTTTTCTTTGATAGGTGTCGATTCTCGGTGGTGCCATCGTCTCTACCTCTGTTTTTCGAAGGCTGTCTTATTACACGAGCTGGCAGATATGTCCTCAACACTTACATGCCCCTAAAGTCTTCTGGCGGTGGCCTTTAAGGTCCTTTAAGACCCCACAAATTTCTTCCAGGTGAACTCTGGCTTCCTTGACTGTGTTGCTGACGTTTAGCTGCCTGTCAATTGCTTTTTTAATACTTTGTAGGACGTTTGTCATCCTACGTAGTACTTCTTCCTCCTACTTTTCTGTGTCACTAAATGTTTTCTGTAGGTGAGCGACTACCGTTCATTCAGCCAGTGTCAGCTGATGGTCATTCTGGCTATCCGCGTCTATATCCTGTGGTTCGTTGGTCCGATAATTTAACCAACCATCAGTTGTCATTTGCTTTTGGATGTTATAAAGCATAGCATTTTCGTGATAGACGCCATTGTGGCCTCCCCCACAATCCATGAGGTCAACAACAGTCACCCAGGTTTTCACAAGGTCAGAAATGGCGGCAGATCATCTCTGAGAGGTTACCACCTGGGGTACGTTGTTTTCATTAGCGTCACCCGTGTTTGGTTTCATTTAGGAACAAACCCTAGATTTTTTTACGAGGTTCTCTCCTTAGCGTTTAAGTCCACGAAAACTATTTTTTTTCGTTTCAACCACCCACGAGTACAATTTTCGACTGTCGCA